TCACAACATTCTGATTGGTCACTTGCAATGTTGATCCTGGAACAACCTTTAGTATGATGATCTGGGAACAACACCAACACGAGGATATCAGATCGTGCGTGAAACATATTATAAACAATTAGTTTTAACTGCAGCTGATTTTATGGTACTGCCTTTATAAGCTTCTTGTTTTTAAGTTATGCTTAGTTTATTGCATCACATCACCAAGAAGTATTTATTTCCTTGGTCAGCTGAGGAAACACTATATGATTAGTATCATAGATTATTTATACGGCACAGATATCTATTAGAGCAGTTTGATCATCTAAAAGGAATCAGTCGAGACCTGAGATGAAACCCTGAGGAATACCAGAGCTAACAGATTGTGGTGGGACAACATTATAAGTAATATAAACGAGTATGGCAAAATCTGTGATGGTTATTAGTATAAATGATATGCTCACAAACAGTGAGTATCAGAGTATTAGTAATAGAGGTCTAAACAGTAAAACCAGTGCAGATGGGCCTTAAATGGGAATCTCTTGTAAAGGCCAGCAGGGGGCGGTCGCTCAAGAACAAGACAGATTGGATAAAATTCTTGGCAACTGACTCGTGATTACTTTAGTAAACCCTTTTCTCTTGAGTTTATGGGCTCAATCACTAGTTTCAAGTCCAATGTAATAAAACATGATGTTCATTTTATAAATTATGGTCCTTATTAGTGACCCTGAGACCTTGAGTATGGAATGTCCTTCTGTTTCTTTGTCGTGTGTTTTCACTTGTGTCATCTGGTTTCAAAAAGCTGAAATGATAATGGCCAAAATGCTTCAGAAACCAGCGATTACAATGTTATTGGCTGACATTACAGTGGCTACCTCCTTCTTTATACTCAGTCTATGGATACACAGTTTTAAAGGGTCAGTTCATCTATGTTCAGTGCACTAAAATCATTGTTACTTATGTGAGTTCTGAGTTCTGATCATTGCAGGTTTTTGCCAGATGTCTGCTTGAAACCATGGATGGATTTTTTAATGGCGCTCAAGGAAAAAAAAATCCCAAATCAGTCTTTTTATCTAAATAATCTACAGTCTTCTCTGTGAGAGCTACATTAGTGTCTGTTTGACTTGAATATGATTATTGGCAGTACTTCAGTGGCCTGAATTTGGGGACTGCTCCGATTATCGGACACAGAAACTGGAGACAGAAGAGTCTGTTGTTACTGGCATTTAATGGGACTTGGAGTAAGGGTTGAGTAGTTCAAGTAAAAATGATTTTTTTTCCAGTGATAAGACAGAAATAGTTTCCAAACGTTAAATTAGGGTCGAAGAGGACGGAGGCCACTGCAAATTTTGTTAAATGTGTGAAAAAATATTGATGTCTAAGTGGAGACTTAGATGCGCCGTGACTAAGGGAGGCGCTGATGAATAACTCCATTAGCCTGAACAGCGCCCTTGGGTTATGACACAAGTTGTGAAATCAGTGAAACAAATTAAAATCATCATCAATTTAACTACTGGAAGCTCTAACTCTGGCAGCACTAGTGCTATGCTAAATATCAGTATTGGTGATTAATAGCCCTGACAGCCACACTGCGCTATAGACCGTGGACACATAATGCACACATAGTGTATTCCACTGTAATACATCATGTGTTAGACAGTGACATTATGCACAATACACAAGGTTTTCCAGGCAGCGTCGCCACATATTAGCCAATTGCTGACTTTTGGGACCCTGTGGTTCCTCACTTTGATGTGCAACAATAATTGCATTGTTTTCTCATATCTCAAGAGTGATATCAGAGCCAATCAGCATAAGACACTTTAAGATTTTTATATTTTTTTAACCCTTTCAGTCTGATATCTCTTTAAAATGCATATAATGCATAGATGGAACCACAGGGTGGGGCTTCAGACAAGCAGCAAAAAGGAGTTTTTATGCTTACATGCAGTAACCATACGTGGTTGATGAAGGATGCAGTCAGACTAGGCACACTTGTCTTGTGCCGTGCCTGAGCCTGATAGCCTCCCCTCCACGCAGACTAAACTGAAACTGCGCAACAGCTTTCTTCAGTCTTTTCTGTCCACCGCTCCTTTCTCTCTCTCCTCTCAGTTCTTCTTTTAGTGCACGCTCTGCATTTTTATCATGAAGAAAAGCGCTTTTGCAGAGCATCGTGAGGTTCGCGAGTTTATGTATTTATGCTTTAATTGGTGTCGTTTCACATCGGCCTTATCGATTTATGAATTTGTTAACATGGCGATTTTCAGTTCAACTTCAGAAATGCTGTTGTTGGTGCCAAAATGTTGAAGTTCTACATAGTTACAACATGCACAACATGTCCTCTCGGACCCACCTGTTAAAGTCAGACAGGGCAGAACGGATGGATGGTCTGACTTTGGGGGTCAAACATGCTCAGGCACAGCTCTCATCACCTAAAGTGAGTATACACTTCATTTGTACTCTGATATAAAGCCGTCCAGAGACCATATATAGATTTCAGGCACCTAGTGACATAATGTGGGCAGGACCTGAGATAAATTCTCTCAACTTCCACAGAGTGCAGGATGCCACTGATTGATATATGACCTCATGGTAAATACATTAGTGGCTTACCAAGGCAACCAGAGCCTAAAATGCCCACTAGTGACCAGCAGTCAGTTTCAAAGTCATGCATGATGATGGACAGCTTAATGCCCGTACAGTCACCTGGATGAGCTGCCAGCATTCTTCCTCATGCTCCATGCATAACAACCCCACTACTGCCAGCACTGAGAACCTTTTAGAGCTGTTCATTTGAATATGTTTTAGTAAAATTTCTCCTGCCGTGTATGATTTTTGTTCCATTTTTCACATTATTCATTCAATTATTTTGTCATTTTTCTGCCTCTGCTCTCCATCACAGCCGAGCCTGCTCCTATTTCACCTTTAAGCAAGAGAAGTAATTGTTTTCTTTCTATTGCTTTTGTATCACGAGTGTTTGCACAGGAGTACACGTGTGTGTTATTTGAAGATGTACTAAACTAGAACCCTGCAATGCATCAGCACTTTTCACATTTTTGGAGCCATCACAAATACATTTTGGAAGCATCTGCTCTGAAGATTCGACTGCAGCTGGTTTCAGAAAAGCAAACATGATACGTATTGCTCTGTAAACACCCTGAGCAGTTTTGCTGACTTCCTCAGTTTAAAAATCTCCGTCT